ACACACACACACACACACACACACACACACACACACACACACACACAAATCTCATTTCCGTATAGCTTACTTTCCTGCAAGTATATATATATTCTAAAGTGTTTCCACTGGTATTGTTAATAATTCAAGTTCCTGTTTAATGTGAGTACAGAGGAAAAAATTTAATATTGCAGCAATCAAGGTAGGTGTCATTTTGAAATTAACATTTGTATATTTTTTAGTGTTATGAAAGCAACAAATAAAATACACCTTTCCAGAATTGTTTCTGTTTAATATAGTGCATGTTTACTAGCATGTTACTGATAATTACATGTAATCTTAACTCAGTGTCTTGAATTTAGGACAGTTAATGTAGGATATTTTAGTTAGAAATTCATAAAGCTTTCCAGTGGCATTTTCCACATGCCAAGAGAATAAAGTGAAACAGGTGTTTTAGTGCCTGCAACCTCACACCGTAAATGATAGTGCCAGGTTTATGGGCAAAACGTCATTCTTTCTTCTGAGACATGATCTTCTTGAACACACCGTGCCTATGTATCCAGCTATACACATGCTTACAGCTTGATGGCACTGTTTTAAATAAAAGAATTTGGTTAACTGAGAACAGACCAACTGAAGGATTTTTTTAACTTATGCCATTGGTTCTGAAAAGTATTTTTATTGGACTCTTTTAAAACGAATACTATTTATAATATGCAATATCTATGCTTTTATTTTTTAAATGTTTTACTTTTGGACTTTTAAATTTATTTATGACGCCCAGTTTGCCCTAAATTTCGTGACACTGCTGTAATGTTTTTCATTACCTATGGTGGGCATTTGCAAATGATGGCAAGCCACAATCGGGGTAGGTACAATGGCCTATGGCCTCTGGTTTCCCTGGGGAAAGTTCCAGGCCTACTGGTATACTAGCAATAATTCTCACAGACCAACCTTAGCCAGAGGTCTCGTCTACCATAGTGTGGGCTCCAGGGTACTGTCTCTGAAGTTAACCTCCAGCCGCAAATTTGGCCATGTCATTCTTGCTTAAAGACATAAATTGAGCTTCACAGATTACTCAAAATCATTCCTGCAAAGGCACACTCTTCTGTACATGGCAACTTGGACACAGTTTTGTGGCCAGGAAAAGAGTATAGCAGGTAGTATATTGTTTTAATGTGGGAGCGTCATTCCTTGTATCTTTTATTGTTAAAAAAAAGCCTTTCATTGTCTGTAGAGCCCAGGCTTTCAGAAAAATCATCAGATCAACCCAAATGGGTTATACAATTTTATATCCATTTGAATATTTATAGTTTGTATACACGAGTTGCCAACCGGGTTTTATAGGGTTTATGGATTTTTCTAATGATTTCAGTGAAAAGTCTTTGATTCAATCTCATGTAAGTGTTTGAAAATTCAGGGACAAATGGCTACAAAATGCATAGTTGTATACACAGTGGTTGCTGGGGGTTCCAAGTGCGGCAGCAATGTTGCCTGAATGATGATGCTTACGTTTGTTATGGTAAAAAGGGTCGGAGGTTCTGAGGTCGTGACAGGGGTTAAAGGATTAGCATGTGACAATAAGTATCAGTCAGGAAAATGGAAAACTAGAACTAATTTTTCTTGCACCCACCTGTGCTTTCTGTCAAATAAAAACTTGTGGTAATGACATAGTGAGGAGAAGAGACAAAGGTTAATGAGTAACACAAGTTCAAATGTGTAATGTATTGGAGCGTAAATTGGATCATACAATCCAGTGTGGCTGGGAGAACTAACAAAAGAGATTGAGCTCACAGTGGAAAATTTTGGGAGGCAGGCAACTTAATTTCTGTTGTTTGAACAGCTTAAAACTATTAATACATGCCAATTTTATTTAGCATAAGTTTTGTTTGCAAGAAGCACTTTTAAATGCCAAAACTACAACTGTTCAGAGGGGCCATAAGAATTCTAAACAGTTTTTTATAACTTAATCTTTCACACCCATGTTACAAAGAAAGTACCAGCGATACTTGCTCTCTTGTTCTTAAAATACAATAGACATAAAAAGTAACTATTATATGATGTTATAATGATGCAAAACTTGGTATTAACAGGTGTTTAAAAATTGTGAAAGCCTTCAGTAAACTCAGTTATAGTCACAGTACTTTATTTGTATGATTATATAATTTAAATGTTATACTGGCTATAACAAGTTTATATCTTGATAGTATAGTATAGAGTATGTCTCTTGATAAGAGAAAGCATTACATCTTTAGCATTGGAAAGTTTACAGTTGTATGTGGGGAAGAGAAAGGGATTTCCCCAAATTATAATTTTTTAAGTCTATTCTCCTGGAATTATGAAAATAGTCCCACTTAAGGAATTTTAGAATCTGCATTTTTTTTATTTTAAATTTTCTTTTTCAGGCAGAAATATAAATTTGGTTTTTGAAAAGTAGAAAAAATTTCAAGTGAAGCTGAAAAAACATTTTGAGAAACATAAAAATAAATAAATGACCCATGAAAGTCTAAGAGGCAGAAAGTGTCTGTCAGTTCTATTAATTCACAGCGGTGGCCCAACAGAAACACGTTTTGTGAATCTAGCTCATAGATAAAAAGAAAGGTCAGAGTTCACAGAGCTAGTTTATCGCAAATGGTTCTCATGGATTTTTGTTTTCCCTCAGGTTTTCTGGGTTCATTGTTTAAATGGCCTCTTCCACTCAGTTATTCTGTTTTGGTTTCCACTAAAAGCCCTTCAGTATGGTAAGTAGAAGGGATATGAATGCAAAGAGATGACTTTTTACTTTTTTAGAAAAATAACTAATTGTCAATGTATGTTAAAAAGTATAGCAGTTTCATTGTATGGTATTTCTCTTAACCTAAAATCCATGCATCCAAAAATTGTACACACTTTAAAGATTTTTATTATTCCTTTGGGAGCAAAGTGATTTAATATATGCAAAGCCTTTCTTCTTTACTTCTCATGTTTTGCAAACTTGCAGAGAGTTAAATTTTAGGGCTTTTCCCCTCCTCTGTTAATGTATAGTTTGAGGACAATAAGTGCTAATATTTTATGTAGCCTATTTATTGTACCTGTGAGGCTTGTATCAAGCTCTTTATACTGAACCTAATCAGACATGCTAGTATTTTCAAGTATACTTGAGCCAATGTTTTGGATGAGGCTTTTAATATGTTTTTATGTTCATCTTGGAATGTTAGCTTTTGCTCTGTTCATTTTGAGGGGAGTGATTTTATTCTCTCAGTTTGGAGAGAGAGGATCATGGTGCATTTCCTATACACATAAAGGTGATTAAATAGCTACTTTAGAAAAGAGATGCCTGTGATTCTTAAGCTGGTGCTGCTCTGTCTTGGAGCAGACTTTGCCTTGAGATCCTGGGGAAGACACCAACTATTCAGGGTGCCTGCTTCAAAACTACTATAATAAAAAACACAACACCTAGTGCACCCAAGGAATTGTCAGTCCTTTATAAGTACAGGCCATACCTACTGTCTATCAGTTAGTGGTTGCCAGTAGAAGAGAGTGCTGCCTGCTGCTGCCCACTACTGATCTCTCCTCCATAGGTAGCCAGAGTGATCCCTGCAAAACATGAATCAGGCCAGGTACCTCCCTCCTCAGAAGTCCATAAAGACTTAGCATACTTAGAACAAAATCCTCCACCTTCAAACTGTTCCCTATTTACAGATATTCGAGTTGGCTTTCTCCCCATATGCCTCAGGTCTGTGCTCAAGAAGCCTTCCCAGATCATCCTGTCCAAAAGAGCAACCACCACCTGCCCCCACTGCTCCTAGGCTCTATTTCTTTGTCAGCCTGTGTGTCTTCATAGTACTTGTCAATCAAGTTTTGATATGTTTGTTTCTTTGGTATGGTCTTTCTCTCTTTTAGAATTGAAGCTTCAGAAGGGTAGGTAATTAGTAGCTTAGTTGTATTCACAGTGCTTAGAAAAGTGCGTAACTTATAGTGGGCACTCAGTAAATTGCGAATGAATTACCAAGGTCATGTGGCATAAGCAAGGTGAGTATTACAAAGAAGCCAGTGGTTTCATGTTCTAGCTGAGATTTTAACCTTCTTTCTTTATTAATTGTTCAGTAAATTACAATACTAAATACTTTTCAACGTCTAGACCATGGCATGAGCATGGTAAGAATATTTAATAAAAGTGTAGAATATTGACCCAGGAGACCAGGAGAATCACAGTGACTTAGTTTGCTTGCTTGGTTGGTTTTGAGATATAATTCACATACCATAAAAGTTGACTCTTTTAAAGTGTATAATTCAGTGGTTTTTAAAATATATTCACAGAATTGTGCAAATGTCACCACAATCTAATGCTAGAACATTGATATCACCCAATAGAGAAACCCCATACCCATTGGCAATCCCTCCCTGTTTCTCCATACCTTCCCCACCAGGCCCTGGCAACTACTTATATTTTTTTCATCTCTGTGGATTTGCCTATTGTAGAAATTTGTATAAATGGAATTATTATGTAACCTTGGTTCATCCATGTTGCAACTGGAATCAATACTTCCTTTCTCTTTATGGCTGAATAATATTCCATGGTATAGATATACTGCATTTTTTAACCTGTTCATCAGTTGTTGGACCTTTAGATTGTTTCCACTTTTTGGAGCAACAAGATATGGAAGTCCAGGGTAAAATTCAAGATATCCTGACCTTAGACAAGCTTTCCAGGTAAAATTTATTTTCAAAATACAAAATCGATATAGATTTGAAAGATAAAGCATGCCCACCTACTGAACTACTGTTTCAACCTTCTGAATTAGAAAAAAAGAAATTGAATATCAAAAGTTGCTTAAACCAGATAGCATCCGAAATGCCTTAATAATTACAGGGTTTGAAAGGAATTCCCAAGTGGCTTGATCTTCCAGAGAAGCAGTTCCTAGATCCATCATTGCGTTTCTCTGGAAAGCCATGCAGCCATCCAGCTTCAATAAAGGCAGTTTCACGGGAGTGCTGCTTGTAGAGATCAAAACTAGCCAAGACTAGGTAACACTTGCTTTCTTTTTTTAAGGGATGTATTAACATTTAACATAAACTGTTTTATCGTTTTGAGGTTGAAGATTTTGTAGTTGTTTGGCCTTGTTTTCATTTTTAAATAAGGAGTGTTTTTTGGGGGGAAGGGTTCTTTTGTTTTTTGGTTTCTGAAAGGATGAGGATACTGAGGAATTTCACACATGCTATGTAATATATGGCCACATATTTATTTATTACTTTGCCTCAGCAGTTCTGAAAGAGTAGTCTGTAGACCCTAGGAATACCCCAGACCTTTTTGTCATGCACAAACAGTGGTACCACTGTGCAAACTAGTCATTATATTGTCCACAGTCATGCACCAGGTTTCACTTAAGAATGTGCATGAAGACACCATAAAACTAATGCTTTTATTAAAACTTGAAGTATCTTAATAATAATCTGTGTAACAAAATGAGAAGTATTAACATATATATAAAGCACTTCTGCATACCAAAGTGCAGTGATTGTCTCAAGGAATGGTGCCTTCTGGATTGAACCAGAGGTTGCAGAATCATGCATGGGTAAAAAATCCATTCAAAATGCAAAGTAGGCTGAGCACAGTGGTTCATGCCTGTAATCCCAGCACTTTGGGAGGCCAAGGCAGGTGGATCACATAAGGTCAGGAGTTCGAGAGCAGTCTGGCCAACATGGCAAAACTCCGTCTCTACTAAAAATACAAAAATTAACTGAGCATGGTGGCATATGCCTGTAGTCCCACCTACTCAGGAGGCTGAGGCAGGAAAATCTCTTGAACCCGGGAGGCAGAGGTTGCAGTGAGTCAAGATTGTGCCACTGCACTCCAACCTGGGCAACAGAACAAGAGTCCATCTCAAAAACGAAACAAAACAAAAACAGGACAAAGTAGACGAATAGATTTTAATGTAATAAAGTACAGAAAGTTCATTGATACAGTTTCAGATTCCACACTGGCAACAAACCTTTAAGAAACTACCTCTACCTCTTTGAGAAACTACTTGTTGGCCAAGAGTAGTAGCTCGCGCCTGTAATCCCAGCACTTTGGGAGGCTGAGGCGGGTGGATCACTTGAGGTCAGGAGTTTGAGATCAGCCTGGCCAATATGGTGAAACTCTGTCTCTACTAAAAATACAAAAATTAGCTGGACATGGTGATGTGCTCCTGTAACCCCAACTACTCAGGAGGCTGAGGCAGGAGAATTGCTTGAACCTGGGAGGCAGAGGTTGCCGTAAACTGAGGACACACCACTGCACTCCAGCCTGGGTGACAAAGTGAGAATCCATCTCAAAAAACGAAAAAAAAAAAGAAAAAGAAAAGAAGAAGAAACTGCTTGTTGAGTTTTGATATAGTATCAAAGACTATCCACAATTATTGGAAAATATTATTAAAATATTCTTCTGCTTTATACTCTATATTTCTGTGCAGCTGGATTTGCATTTTATATTTCAACCAAAACAACATGACAATCCGGCTATTTTCTATTAAGCCAGAAGAGATTGTAAAAATGTAAAATAATACCAGTTTTCTCACTTATTTTTTTGTTTGCTTTGGAAAATAGTTATTTTTCCAAAAACCTGTCATTATGTTATGTTTTGTTTTTATAATAAATCAGTACATAATTTTTAATTTTCTGTTTTAATTTCTAATTTGGTAAATATTGATAGACATAAACCACAAAAAAGCTTTTTGAGGCCCTCAATAATTTTTTAGTGTAAAGGGATCCATAGACCAGGAAGTATAAGAATGAGTGACTTACCCAAATTATTCAAATGCTAAGCATGCCTTCCACCTGGTACTGCTTGGTGCTTTACATACATAACTTCATTATAACTTCAAAACCCCCTCAGGGTAAATAGCTTCACTCCTTTTAGCTAAACTGAGTTCCATAGGGTTTGATTATAAATAATCCAGGATAACATAGCTGTTAATAGTGATAGAACTAAGCTTCAGTGTCTCCAAAGCCCACCAGTACCACTGTGTGTTTCATCCCGTACTTTATTCTAATAAATTTTGCCCTTATATATTTGATTCTGAATAAACATTGAATATGTGCATATATTATTGCATTACACATACCATGGATTTTAAATTTTTCAATGGTATCAATGATTTAATTATTAAGCTATTACTTATTTTCACCTGATTTTATCAGTACCAGAAATTTTTATACATCAGCACCACTTCCTTCATCTAAAGCCACGTTGGAAGGCGGCTAGGTGAGGTGGCTTACTCCTGTGATCCCAGCACTTTTCGAGGCCGAGGCTGGCAGATCACTTGAGGCCAGGAGTTTGACACCAGCCTGACCAATGTGGAGAAACCCCATCTCTACTAAAAATAACAAAATTAGCTGGGCCTGGGGACACGCACACCTATAATCCCAGCTACTCCGGAGACCGAGGCACAATAATTACTTGAACCTAGGAGGCGGTGGCTGCAGTGAGCCAAGATCGCACCACTGTACTCCAACCTGGGTGACAGAGTAAGACTGTCTAAAAACATAAATAAATAGAAAACCACATTTGTTAGCCATTGCTAGAATAGCAAAATACTTTAAAATATTCCCCTACCTTCAGCCAGACCCTCAAAGAATCACATGCCTGAAATCACACCGGCATTCCCTGGCCCTCTGTGAGTTGCTTTTATGAATCCCTTTTGGCCCAATGCCAACAACTTTATTGAGAGATAGCAAGAAGATTCCCTATGACTCTCATCCATATTGTTGAGTTCTTTATTACTGTCCATAATGCCCTTTACTGCTTTGTTTGAACAATTTGTTTGTTTGTTTTTAATCTGGTGGACTCTGAAAATTCGTTAACAAGTCAGGTTTCCTTCTTCAATGTTGGCTTTTGTGGCCTATCTTTATAGCAGCTTTGTTAGCACTTTCTTAGTGTTTGGGGTTTTTTTTTTTAATTAGTCTCATTTCTGGCTTCATTGTGTGTCCCTTGGTTTCCCTCCTTCGTTCAAACTTTCTGAATGCGTTTATCTTTGAAAAGATTCTGAAACAATCTCATTTTCCTTTCTAATAGGGCTCTCTCCTTTTCACACAGGTACTGCATTTGGAAATGGGAAAACCTCGGATTATCTGCTGCTGGGAAACTTTGTGTACACTGTGAGTGTAGGATGTTTGTCTTGTTTGCATATAAAATTAAAGCCTTTCATCTGTGCTTATTTTATTTTTAAATTTAAATGTAAGATGTGTGTTTCTGGATTTCAGAGTTGTTTATGGTTTCCTTTAAAACTGAAATAAGACCCAGCGCTTATGACTGGGACTTATTTCATTTTTGTAAAATAATGAAATAAAATAACTAAAAAATAGAAAGTCAGTACTATTAAGTAGCATAAGGATTGAGGTTTTAACAGATCTGGTGGCAGGGGGTGCAGTCTCCTTTCTATTGGCATCAACTCACCAACCAAAGTGGTAAAAGAAAAGCAAAAATGTTTCCAGGGGCTCGTTCTCATTACAACATGAATGCGAAAGCAGAGCAGTGGGTAGAAATAAATCAGAGTAAATATCATGGAGGTCTTCTGGGGACACTGTAAAGTACCCAGGTCTCAGGAGTATTTTCTTTAATAAATGTATTTCCTCTTCTTTTTTTTTTTCTTTTTTCTTTTTTTTTGAGAGGGAGTTTCACTCTTGTCACCCAGGCTGGAGTGCAATGGCACAGTGTCAGCTCACTGCACCCTCTGCCTCCAAGTGCACATGATACTCCTGCCTCAGCCTTCTGAATAGCTGGGATTACAGGCACACACTACCATGCCTGGCTAAGTTTTGTATTTTTAATAGAGACAAGGTTTTACCATGTTGCCCAGGCTGGTCTCGAACTCCTGACCTCAGGTGATCTGCCCACCTTGGCCTCCCAAAGTGCTGGGATTACAGATGTGAGCCACCGCATCCAGGCTGAATCTCTTATTTTAGAATTTTTGGATCACATAAACTAATTTTACATTTTAATATGTTTTATTTCTGCAAATATTCTAAATTGCCATTAGCTGTCCTGCTGAAAAAGCTCAATTGTTCTTACTGTAACCTAACTTTATAACCCCACTGGGAAGTGTCTAAGCACATGCTGTGTGCAAACCCTTACTGTGCCTTAAAGTAGGACTGGGCACTTAAAGCATTTATTGATCAAGTGCTAGCAAGCATCACTTCTATCGCCACAATTATCAAGAGGTTCCTTGACTACTAACAATATTTAAGATTGTATTAGTATAAATAAATAATATTCCATGTTAATCACTGTTCTGAGTATTTTACAGAGTTTTACTCTCAAAAAAAGAAAAAAAAAACTCTGCTTTATCAGTCCCAGTCTACATGTATAGGAGTTGAGACACAGAGAGGCGACGTAACTTGCTTTGTTCATTAACCACAGTAGCTTAAGTGCTAAAGTCTTGGGCACAGGTAGTCTGACTCCACGGCAAGTGCACTTCATAATTATGTTCTACTATGGAAAACACAGAGCAGTTAATCCAACCCCAGCTTTCTTTTGCATAATGACTAGCATAAGCCCCAGAGATGGGTACATATATCACGGAGGAATGACAGTCTCATATCCTACTCAGCAAGGTTTTAAGTAAAGTTCCTAAGGAAGCATTTAGATTTCTAAATATCTGGTTATTTTACTTGTTAAAATTAGTCTTTGAAGTTCAGAAAGTTGGACTTTTAGTATGAAGGGTGATTTAAAATAAAGGTAAAGCAAGCTTGAAAACTCAAATTAACTCCAGGCGTGTGCTGTCGCTGTTCATGAATTGTACAGAAGAAATAGGCAAACACATTCAAAGGAGCTTGTGGATAGAGGGTCAGGCTGTGCAGGTGAGGGAGAGGCAAGGAAGCCGGAGGTGCAATGCTGCTGTGGGCACCTCTGACCTATCACAGCCCTGTTGGCCGCCCAGCTCATTCACCTGTTTGATAGTTGGTCATACAAAGCAAGCAGCAGTCTCCTAGTCCCATGGTTACTGTTCTTTATAACTCTTTCAGTCATTTGATGAACTGTCATGTTTATGAGATAAAATAACATTTTCCCCTTCTGTTTTAGTTTGTGGTGATAACTGTGTGTTTGAAAGCTGGATTGGAAACATCATATTGGACATGGGTAAGAAAATATCTAACCGCAACCAAGAAATGTCACATTTACTTATGCATTAGCTCCAGTTTTGGTGTTCATCACTCTAACTCGATATGTCCCAGGTTGATATGTCCTAGTCCACAGGATTTTTGTTGTTTTCTTTTTTTTTTTTTTTTTTTTTGAGACAGAGTCTCGCTTTTTCACCAGGCTGGAGTGCCGTGGCGCGATCCCAGCTCACTGCAACTTCCATTTTCCAGTTTCAAGCAATTCTCCTGCCTCAGCGTCCCTAGTAGCTGGGACTATAGGCACACACCACCACGCCCTGCTAATTTTTTTGTATTTTTAGTAGAGACAGGGTTTCACCATGTTGGCCAGGATGGTCTCAATATCTTGACCGCGTGATCCACCCACCTCGGCCTCCCAAAGCCTTGGGATTACAGGCGTGAGCCACCATGTCTGGCCAGTCCACAGGTTTTTAATTGTGGGGTGTCAGGGATAGGGAAAGGAGAACTGGAGGTTTTAGTTGGGAAATATTGAGTTAAACAAACTTAAACAAGTGCATTACCGCAAGACTTCTCAGAGCCTTTAATGTATTGTCGTATATTATGAGTATCCCAGGAAATAGCGAGACTTTAAACTTAAAGACTTCTTTTCTTAGAGGTGTCACAGGACTGATGTTCTGCAGAAAACCCATTGGGAAGTGATTCTGAAAACTGAAAATACTAATGAAAGATTTGTCCTCAGATATTTATAAATACCCAGTCTTCTTCCATTTTAGATACGATGGTTTTTGCAGTATACCCCCATCCAGTAGAGACCCAGGAAACAAAAAGAAATTAAAGTTTGATGTCCCTGGGAAAGACTGGCATGAGGCATTTGGATTTAACAGTCATCAGCCTACATATAATATTCTCACAAGGGTCTGACGTCTTTTGGTGACAGCATACAGGCCAGAAGTAAGGCAGGCTTCCAAATGGTCAGGGATAAAAAAGGTAAGAGTAAGAGGGGAAAACTACCAAAGAAGTTAGAGGAGCAACAGTTCTAAATTCCAGTACCATAAATATCACAACTGTTGTGGAAGAGATTAGCACTTAAAGATCCAATTTAAAAACACACAATTACGTAGAAATTCCTACAGATAATATTTTATGGATATAATAAAAAGTTAATAAGGGAATTTGAGAGGGTATTAGTATTTGTGTAATTGGTCTACATAAAACTTTTTTAACTCAGATTTCCTTGCTCTACAGTTCAGCCACATAGCGATATGGGGGAGCATTGCACTCTGGGTGGTGTTTTTTGGAATCTACTCATCTCTATGGCCTGCTGTTCCGATGGCCCCTGATATGTCAGGAGAGGTAATGTGTGCTAATGACTCACCAACAAAACCTTGAAAACTGGTATTTTTAGTGAACCTTAATCAGCATAATTTTCCATCTTGTTGATTTATATTAAAATAGTATTTGACCATTTAAAAACTGTTGTTAAATTCCACGGTTTTGAGTGATTAATCTTGAGAGAATATTTTTTAAACTTGAACATTTTACTTAAATCTGACTTATCCTTTCATAAACATAGCCAGGACAATAAAATATGGTTGTCGGGAGCTTGAATCTCATTGAGAATATCCATATAGAAGATGCCATTTTTAAATTACACCATAAGGCCACAAATACATTTTGATAAAAGATTTGGGGAAATGGCGAGTTTCTGTCTTGGGACAGTCTATCATTTCTTCTGTTATCTCTTATTCTAGAGGAGAGTCTGCTGTCACTAGATTAAGTGCACTTTTTAGGTTGTCCTAATGACATCAGTTTGGTTTTCATTTTGAAAGAATTAGGGCATCTGACATTTCAGCCTTATCATAGTCCATTTTCAATTCTGTCTTTCAGTTTCTTGTTACACTGGTAGGAATTGAGTTATTAGGTGTTCATGGGAGAGTGTCAAAAGATCTCCTTTCCTTCTGAAGAGACTCCAGCAGTAGGAGGGTTTATGATTTCAATTGCAGGAAATTTGACATAAAATGTATAAAAGAAAATGTGGAAAACATTTTGGGATTTCCTGTGACCTCACAGTAACTTGCAAATCAAGGTAATGTGAGCTCCATGACAGTACATTGTTTTACCACAGTCACAGGAACCCTTTCCAGTGGTTTTCATGTATTCGTTGCCCGTAAGTACTGCCTGAGTACCTTTCACTTTTGACAGTCTGGTTTATAGATCATTTTCATGAAATTTTATCTGACAGCATCCTGCTTTTTATAAATTAGCAGAATGCAGACACATTTTTAAAATTTTGTGGTTAAATTTATTAGAGAGAGGCATCATATACTATTACAGCAAAACCAGACCTATCAAGGAGTATGTACTTCCTTCTACAAAAAGTGAAGGCTTCTTTTGAAACATGTACTGTGAAAACTAGAAGTTTAACAGCATGTGTTCTAAGCAGAATAGGGAGAACACTGTGAGTGGATCTCCTCTTTACCTTGGTTTCTGGGTCCTTTTCTTGAAATAAAGAAATAGAACTGAAGGAAAAAAAAGTGAGTGCATGTGTGTGTATCTGATGATGACATTTGGAAAATTCAATTCTCTTTGTTTTTATTTGATGTGCTGTGTCTCATTGGACCTGCTTTTCCCTTAGGTTGATTTTAACTTGATATCTTTTTCATTAGACATAAGTCTTTGCCTTCCTTTGTCTCATTTCTTAATGTTTATTTTATTTTCAAAATGAATAACACAAAAGACTTGAGACCCAGATGGTTTAAGCAAGTATTGCCAATGGGTTTGATGACAAGAACTGAGGTTTTGACCACCTACTTCTAGGACAAGTGTGAAGTTTGACTGGCTTTTTGCCAACCAAATATAATTCTACCCTTGCCTGTAGAATTCCCAGTATTACCCAAACACAAAACTTAATATCGTCTCTTGAGACTCATGGTGATGCTGTGTTTAATTCAAAGTGACATGAATGTCAGTACTCCATCACATTTCTGTTCACTTCATATACAGTGGGAAGTGCTAACAGAGGTTCTTTTCTTGTTATTACTACTGCTACTTTGAATATAGTATTTAAATAGCTGGTGTTCCATAGAAAATATGAAAATGAATTAATTCAACTGTAGGGTAGGCTTTACTAGCATGTCCAAAATGTAAGTCTGTTTTATTTATTCAAATAAAAGAAGAATACTTTAAATTTACATAGGACTTTAGTGCTCCCAAAGCATTTTGGTGTGGGTATGGCTGTGGATGTGGTGGGCTGTGTGTGTGTCTGTATGTGTGGGTGTGGGTAGGTGTGTCTGTGTGTGTGTGTGTGTGTGAAAATGAGCCTCACAACAATGCCAATATAAGGATATAGTGAGAATGCCACTCACATTCTGGAGAGTAAATCATCTCCATTTACTGCTATTGGGCACTAGGCTAATAAGTTCCAAAAAATGCTGTAGCTGTATTCAGTGTTTAACATTCTTATTATAGGTATAGAGTCACTAATTATGTTACATTACAACATAGTTCATTTCAGGAAGAAGTGACTACTCTTAGGTCTACCTTTTTCTAATCTTAAAATCCTTAAGAATATAGCCAAATATATATGCATATTTACATACATATATAAATGTGAAATTCATGTATGTGCCATTATTTATAGGTATACACATAATTGGCCAACTGTCTTAATTAAAGTTTATTCAACTGTTAACATTCATATATTGTACATGACATATATTATCTATTGCATAGAGTAATATATTATTATAAGTAATGCCAACATAAGTTAAATATTAGCATCTGCTGCCTTGACATGTTTTATGATATCCACATAATGAAACACGGCCCAGAGCAGCCGCCAGAACTTGAGGCTGTTCTGCAGGATTCCTGATGCAGAGTGTAGGTAATTTCTGTCACTACCACTAACAGGGTCATAAGTATCTAATCCAAAGACCATATCCCCAGGATCCCAGTCCTTTCCTGTGTTGATTTGGCAGCAATTCCTTCCACACTAAATAATTAACTAATTTTGTATGTAAGTATGTTTTGGTTGCCCAAAAGCTTAATAAGGGTCTCCAGGATGGTACCTTGTAGAGGTGGAGCAGACAGAGAATAGCAGTCCTGTTCTGCTCTGTGCTGGTTCAGGAGGTGTTTTGGAAAGTGAGGTACTGTGTCATTCTAAAGGGGCATTGACTGAATAGAGGAGCTCTATAAAAAGGCAAACAAGATCTGGGAAGAGTAACACAATAATTCCTCATGAATATTGAATGCTTACTTTAGCCCAGACAGTTCTGTAAGGACTTTACATATATATATTCATTCAGTCAGTCCAACAGCTACTGAGATTCCTGTGTGTGTAGCGCTGTTCTAGGCACTGTGGATTCAGTCCTGAAAGAAACAGAAACCCATGCCTTCCCATAGCTCACTTTTCTAGTGCAACGGGGCAGACCATAAACACAATGAGTAATGAAACATGGACATATTTAAGTGCCTAGAGAAAAGTACAGCAGTCAGGGGGAACCAAGAGCCATATTTTCAGTTTGTTTCCTATACAGCCTTGTGACTTTTACTCATGGTCAGATCAAAAGAACCCTGGAGGAGCTTGAGAGGGAAGTGTCAGGACCTGATTTCTGTTTTCACAGTAGGACTCTGGCTCTTGTATTGCAAGCTGCTTAGGAGGTTATTCCAATAAAGCAGGTGAGAGATCATGGTGTGTGGGGCCAGGAGGGCAGCAGTGGTGAGAAGTGGTTGGATTCTGAATATAGTTTGAATGGAGAGCCAATAGAATTGGTGGACAGGTTGGATGTGAGGAGACAGAGGAGAAGTCAGGGCAGACTCTGTTGTGTTTGCCATGAACATCAGGAGAGTGTGCTTGTTGGTAACTCACATGATCTTCAAAACAAACAAGTTGCCATACTCACCCCTTTACAGATGTGGAAATTGAAGCACAGAGAAGTTAAGAACCTTGTCTGACATCCCACTCATAGTGGCAGAGATAAGGTTTCAACTTCGATGTCTGATCCCCAGGTCTGCTACTTTAAACGCTGCTCTGTGCTCCTTCTCTGATATTAGTTGCTAAGAGGAATTCGTGGTATTTGCTATGAAAATTAGAAGTCTGAAGGGACTCTTAGTCCTCACAGGTATTTCAGAGATTTGTAAAGGAAAAGAAATCTCTGTATTCTGTTTTCCTGACAGCACTACCTCCTCCATGTTTCTTCTCTCTGCCTTTTCCTCTCTATAGACATTGCAGTGGTCTTGTTCTTTCTCAGCCCTTCTTCCACATCAGTGCCGCGATAACTGTTTCAGAATGCCTAAACTTTCTCAAGCATCCACTGTGTCTTCATTTCTTTCCTTATTCACTCAGACATGATGGTGTGGGACCCCTAATGCCCCATAAATGAGTGTTAAGTGATTGGCAAATAACATTTTTTGCGTGCTTATGTGTTTTAGACAAACAAATGAGAAATGGTGAAATAGGGGGTATAGAGAAGCAGCTTTCAGCTCAAATAAGTACATCTTTCCAACATCTTGTGATTTCCAACATATGAAGATTTTCAGCAGCAGAACAGGATGCTGGTCTCATTTAACTAACACTTCCCAGACCAGGCAGATGAGCTCCCAGCCACTGTGATACTTAATCAGCACTACATTCTGTGCCTCTGAGCTTACCTTCCAATTCCTAAGATTGAGATTCTCTTTTATGCCTCTCTTTACTGTATCCACTTTAGAGAAATATCTTAAAAGGACACAGACTATTTTGCTCTAGTTAACAGGATCTCAGGGTGCAAATTATACAAATTCAGCAGCTTTGCAGGTACAGGTCACATGCTTCTATATTCAGCTTGATGCAGATTCACACATAAATCGGGACTTTATAGTCATTTCCAATTTATATTCTTGGGTCATCTTTGCAGCAGAGACAGAGCCATTTCTCTCAACGTGTTGAAAGAAAATCCCTGCTCCCTAAGTTGGAGAGGGAAGGGAGCCAAATTTATTGTGTCCTACTAAGTTCTTCAGGCACTGTGTTTGATGCTAGACATTCCTTGTTTTTGTTAAACTCATGTTTCAAATCTGTGTAGTAAGCAAAGAAGTAGCTAGTGACCCAGAGACTTTAACCCAAGTGATTCTTTTCAAGTCCCATTGGTTTCTGCTAACATCCCGAGGAATTCAGTACCTTCTTTTTGGGTCTCGTAGCTGTTCCTTGCACTCAGGTGATAACTCTTTTTGTCTTGTAGCCATCCTCCTTGCATTCAATCCATCTGCTATTTCCCTGCTTTTTCCAGGGCCCTGAACAATTTCCTTAAGCTAACCAGATGTGAAAGTGCTCCTGTCTCTTCCCCTCCTCAACACCCACCTGACTCCCTCAACCTATT